AAATGTTTTCCTTCTAACATTCAGGAAGGGGTATTGGTAATTAGGGAAAAAGCATTTGCCTAATATTCTTCAAACCCTGTTTAAAGGTCTTGTCCAGTGCTTGGCTAATCATGACTACATTTTGTAACAACAACAAAACATACAAAGCAGATACATACAAGCACCAAGACAACCAGAGCTTCCTCATATAGAAGAAAGAAATCAAGTAGAATTTTTTTACAATGAGGATGTTGAAACACTGGCACAGGTTGCTAAGAGATGTGCCCTGTTCTTGGAAACGTTCCAAGTGAGGTTGGACAGGGCTCTGAGCGACCTGATCTAGACGAGGATGTCCCTGCTCACTGCAAGGGGTTGGACTAGATGACATTTGAAGGTCCCTTCCAGGCTACGATTCAATGATAGAAAACACAAAGGGCGATACAAAGGGAGCCTTCACAGAACCAGTAAAAAGAAAATTTTAGATATAGTAGCACATCAAAGAATTTAAATATACAAAGAAAAAAAACAAACTTGTCTGTACACATAAAGACATAGTCATGTTTTGCATTTGTGGAAATGGAAGGAAATTAAAGAACATAAATTCAACATAGGGGACCTTAGGTCAACTTAGGAACATCATTAAACCATGAAGTGAATTGTCTGAATTATTTACTTGGTAATGGTACTTCTGCTGTCAGTAGTGGAGTGGTAGTATCTCTTTAGAGAGACTAACACATACAGACTGGGCTGCCAACTACAATATGCTATTAGTTTTGCAAATGCTTTTGCAACACTGTGATAGAAAGTAATTTAATATTAAGAGATCTTTCTCACAGGATTAGCAATTTCATTTCTTTCACACATGTTCCTAAAAAATTGTTGCCAACTGGCTCACATGATGCAAAGCTAAACTATGCATAAACATGTTTTTTAGAAAAATAAAGCCAGTGTTCAAACATGAGCCTCAAATAGATCTCCTACAAACCATCAAAGATCATAAAAAACAATTTCTCATAATGTTGTAATGCCTCCTGTAGAATAACAGGACTACCTAAAAGCTGAGATTTTATTATTTTCAACAATATGCTTTCCGTAAGACATAGCTATCATCGGTAGTAGGTCTTTAAAGAACACACAATATAAGCAATTGTAAGTAATTATTTCAGTAGGAAGAAAAGGAGGGAGAAAACTGTCTAAAATAATAGTTGTGAGAGCAATGCAACAAAGCACCAAAATGTTTATGAAATTTCTATGAGTATGAAAACATTTAATCTTGTAGATTGTAACAATTCATAAAATTATCAGACTGAAAAAAAGCACAATGTTTGTAGACTTCATTTGCTGACATGTTTTCCATCCAAGCTAAGAATACTAACCTGAGCTCTTTTTTCTCTAAGTTCCTGCTGCTGTAACCTTCTTTTTTCACGTTTCTCTTGCAATTTTTCAACCTCTTTTACACAATTAGATTTTCTTCGTGCTTAAAGGAAATTATATAATTTTAAAGTATTTTCAGTATGTTGCATGAATTTAGTCTTTAGACTGTAAAATTTCAAATATATTACTTTATAATTAGAATGCATTTTTTTATATCAACTGTCTTTTCAAGCAAATCAGTATTCATACACAATAATTACAGAAATGCAATTTCTAAAATTTATAAAATAAATAAACTAGGAAATAATCATGGGAATGAGAGAATAATTACACAACCAAAAACATAAAGACAATGACCCCCAAAAAAATATTTGGACAGATACATGTGATGTCTTAGTTTTAATTAAAAGGAAGCCCAGGCAAATTTAAAAAACAAAACCAAAACCATGATTAAAAATAAAGCAAAAGAAAAACAAATTCCAAATATCAGCAAAACTATGACAGAAGGAAACGTTTGTTTAACCACAGCATGCTGAAAAAGCTCCTCAAGGAAGCCTCCAGACAACTGCGCATATAGACCATCTGTCGTTTATGGACAACAACATAATCCAAGAGAATGTACATGTAATGCCCAGAACAAATTAATCCTTGATACATAGTTTACATACAAGGGGGTCCAAATTCCTTTTTTGCAGCTTGAACTGGAGATATATCTGAAACAGTACCATTTTGTTGAGAGGAGGAAGGCTGCTCAGGAAGCTGAGTAGGTCGAGCACGTGCAGAACCAGTCACTGCAAATGAAAAGCACAAAGCTCATCTGGACACAGAAGAGTAACATTTCTACCCAATTCTGACATCTGCTTTCTTCTGATGAAATGAAACAAGACCCCTTTCCAGACAGAGCCACTTATTGGGGGTGAAGAGGAGACATACATGTAGAAACTCTATTAACAAAGACATTTTATGCAGCTGGTTTTCCTACTGTTACACACAAAGACAACATAATTATCAAGTACTAAAGCTGCACATGCATATTTTTAAATACTCTACTACAGAAGTAGTACAGCTTATTACGTGCACAGAAAGAAGCATGTACTTGAAGATACACAGACCTGAACATTCAAATCCTGAAATGTTATTTATATTGTGATTTTACCCAAAAAAACAAGTAAGATAAGAAGCCCTGCTGCTTCACATTTTCTAGATGTTTACAAAATGGTCCCACTCCATTAAGCCTATAATCTGCGGAGGAGCACAGCGAAACGAATGGCAGTGACGTATAGCTCAGCCTGTGAGTGCAAGAAACAAACCTTTTGTCACTCTACTAAAAGTCATACTGACATAATTAATGTCTAAACTTATTCATTGATTCTGTATGTGCTAAGGATGCCAATTTCTGAAGATGCGGTGATGTCTGTTCCCAGCAAATGCAGTGGGAGTGGTGAGCCTGCAAGCCACTTGTTAGAGCTGAATGTTTTAAATTGTTTTTCAGAGTTGCTTCAAACAGCTCTGGGCTGCTTCCTGCACACATTCCTAACAGAGTTTGCCAGAAGAGCAGGAAAGCGCAGGTATCAGCTTTGATTAGCAGCCTAGAGATGACATTCCAAAAGAAGGCCAGCTCACTGTGCAACATGGAGACAACTATGGAAACACACACTGAACGGGAAGGACAGACAAGACAAATGCCCAGATCATTCCAAATATGATAGGAGATCTAGTTTACAGCACAAACTGAATAAGCTAAACAAAATACTGTGCAGATAAAAGCTTCATTACAAGGCCAAAAAAGAACAAATACTTAGGCCAAATGTGAATAGTAAGATTAAAAAGACCTGTTCAGTTACAGGGTTACTCCACACCAAGAAGCATTTACTACAAGCAACAACATACATGGATGTGAGGAGAGCCCATCAACAAGATGTCTCAACTTTAAACTATATGACTATGAAAAAAATTATCCCCTCCTCAGTAAATTTCCAATTTGTTTAAGAACCCAGCAAATGGCAGAAGGGAGAAGGTCATTCCAATTGTCCACCAGAAAAGTATGAACACTTGCAAAGATATGCAAACCCACTTGTTTTTCAAGTTCAAACAGATGAGCTGGAATCTAGTCAGAATTAATGACAGTTGATTAATGTTTGGAAGAAGAATCATCTCCATTATCAGTACAGGTTAGTTAAGTTTAACACAGGAGAGAAAATGAAAAAAATAAGCAGCAATTATTCTTTCTCATGTTATAGATGCATTATATCTGTATTCATCCAATATATATGTTTCACCTGTGCAGTGGTATTTCAGCATATTTTGTAGATTTTTCACTATTAACTGTAGTGTGAGAAAAAACCCATAGGGCTTAAGTACTCTTTGAATGAATGTTTACACAAAACTGCTACAAAAGTAGGCTAAAAACCTGAAAGAGTAAAAATTTTAAGTCCACTGATCAGTGTATATTTAAACAATTAAGTTGAAGTGAATTGAGCATTCTTTAGCTTGCACACACGTGATTTAATGAAACATAATTAATTAACTTGAATTTTCTGCACCTGTATTTCATTAAGTGTAACTTTCTTAATTCTATATTGCTTTAATGCATATAGATACTATTTGAACAGTATGAATTCCTAAATATACTTAGGGATAATTCTAGGAATGATGTACCATGTCTTCTCCATGTCACATGCATACATACTGAATTAGAAATGCAGAACTATTAAGGAATGTTAGGTTGAAATATTATCATTTTTTTTACTTTTTTGAAATGGAAAGAGATAACATTTACCTCTGTTGTCTCTGGAAGGGGCATCATTCTTAACAGGCGCCACAGTTCGTCGACTCTATAAAGAATGAAATCTCTGTCATTTGACTACCTTATTTTCGAAAATGTAACCTGCAGCCCCACCTCTGCTTCCTTTCAGTGAATTAAAATAACATGATGGCAGCAACACAGAGAGGTGATTGCTACAAAATCCCTCCCTGAAGGGCCTGGGCTGAAGACTGCTTACACTGTATGTACAGTTTCAAAACAACCTCCAAAACTTTTTCTGTATTTTTCTCCTTGAGCTATAGTTAGTTATATAAATATGAGTCCCCAGTTCCCTTTCTGCTAAACTCGCTCTTTGAAAATTTTCTGAAACCCCTATTAGTCACAGGAAAAAGAAAGGAACACAGATATCAAAGAGCTCCACAGGCACAATAGTTAAAAATTCAAGCATAACAACATGCATAGGATATGCATAACCTTACAGTATTATCACTAACATGTTATATAGGTATTACAAACCTTCACTATTTTGTTTACTTTGGCTGGTGGAGTAGGTGGTGGTGCTGTGTCTGAAACAAGTTCAGCATCTTCATCAGAAGTAAGATCTGGATTAAGTGAAAATATGCTCTCCAAGTCAATCTGTGTAAAACAATACAAAACGCATTTAAGAGTCTTAGAACACTGGTTTTGAGCACTGGAATGGGCTCCCCAGGGAAGCAGTAATGGCACTAAGCCTGACAATATTCAAGAAGCTTTTGGACAACACCCTCAGGATCATGGTGTGAACTTCGGGGTTGTCTTGTTCTGGGGCGGGAGTTGGACTTGGTGATCCAGGCTGTTTGAGGCAGTGGTTGACCCAGCATCCCTGAAGACATATACGAAGACAGATGTGGTGCCTGAGGACAGGGTTTAGTAGTGGATGTGGCAGAGTTAGGGTAGTGGTTGGACTCAATGATCTTGAAGGTCTTTCCAACCAGAGTGATACTGTGATCCTGTAACACTATTCACCCCGCTCATTTCTCCTCTTATGTTTGACAATAAAAAATATTTAGTGCTTTTACCCCACAATTTGTTCATTCAATAATGTTAAGTATCTTATTTTATGCTCACTAAAAACAGTGTAAGCTTTGGCCTTCATATTAGTTAAAAACACAACCTTCAGAAAAAGGATGAACTAAATATGGCCAATAGAGATTCATATTTTTGTCAAGTCATTAAAACAGAAGTATCCAGTATTACTGTAGTAATTTAACACATACTGCAGAATAAGAAAGACATGCTGTAACATAAAGAGATCTCAGCTATTTGAGATTTCCCAAACAGTGCAAAAGAAACACAAGAATTACAACCACCTGAAAAACAAAGTGCAGTTGAAACCATGTTAAATTTATCATACTAATTTTTCTGCTAAGCGTTCCTGGTTCAAAATGCTCTAAAATGTAAGGGGGGAAGGGGCAGGATCCTAAAAATAGCTGGCTTTCAGATCTATTGAATCTTGGTTTCCTAAAAATCTCAAATAGCTTTGGTCTCTATAGACTGCCATTTTACCCTAGCTGGATATTTCAAAGACCTCACCACTGTATGAATTCTGTGTATCCAAAAGGATGAGCTCAGCTGATGAGATCACCAGGACATTCTGATATTTTTTTTTCTTTTTCCTGTGTTTTCATAAAACCAGTGAAGTGTAGTTATTTCTGAGATGCTTCTTCAATTCTCATCTGAAACTGGCTAACACGGTTCAAAATTTAAAGGGAAAGGGGATAATGAAACATTACATACAAAGACAGTTTCAAAAGGAAAGCAAGGCTCAAAAATTATTGCCAAAAATAAATAAGCAAACAAACTAGCAGTTCAATTCCTCAATAATACAAACAATAAAAACACAAACAGGTTTGTAACCCAGCTCTCCCACTAGTTTCCTGTCTGAACTGCAATTCATTCTCCCTCTCAAAAATTTTATTTTTCTACTTGTAAAAAGAAGGTAACAAGGTCAGCCTTTGTAATCTGGTTCAAAATCAGTAGATGTAAAAGTACTATTTAAAAGCTATGACAAAGAGCTCAGGAAGCAAAATGTAATACAATAGAAACCAGCATTTGCCCAACAGCTCCCAAGAAAAACAGTCTGTAACAAAAGAATTGCCAAGTAAATTAAGATTTTTATTTTGTCTTTACTTACACTGCAAATTCCAAAGTAACTGTCATGTAGATTACATATTTTTTAAAAGAAAAAAGTTGTGCAACAACTGAGTTTACCTCTTTGCCTTTTGTATCCCCATTTTCAATCCACTCAACCGTTACACTTTCATTATCTTCATTCAGGGATGTTACCATCGCTTGGTGAATTCGTCCTAGAAAGCAAACACAAAGGATTATTTACTAACTGGTACAAATATTTCCAGAACTCATTGTCATCCCTGCACCAAGACATGCAGTGAGAGGCAGGAAAAAGGATTACAAAAAAATAAGGTAGTACGACGGTGACTCCTTGCCACACACTGTGAAATGGTTCAGACCCGATTCATCAGCAGAGGCTCTAACGAGACAATGAGTGTACAAGTGAAAAACTCAATGAACCTCAAACTGAGTGGTAAGTAAACAGAACACCACGTGAAACCAACACCACATAGACTCTCTTTTCTGAGTGAAGAGAACTCCAATACCACGAGTATCCCACAGACAGCACAGTCTCCAGAGGTGCACTCCACAAAGGCTGGCTTGTCCCTTTCTGATACAACTGATACATCAGGCTGATACAACTTTACATGTTGCAATACAGGAGTGAAGCCCCCTGAAACTGTATTCTGATACGAATTTCTTATGGGCATTTCAGCAGCTAGTAACTAAAATTAAATTGCATGTAACAATAATACAAATCATCATTTTTTAAACAACTGCAAATAAAACCTGCTGAGTTGGAGTTAAGTGCTCCTTTCTTTCTCCAGTGAAAGCCCAAAAGACAGTGGGCCCCTATAAAGTACAATAAAAACAGTTAACTTTCAGTAGGAATAAGGACATTTCTTCCTAAATATATAGTGTACCACAATTTTTATGTCCTATTTCCTACATGTTAGTGAGAAGCCACTGGCTGAACAGAGTAGCCCTGCACTGACAAAAAAAGAATCAGGACCGAGGTGTCACACTGACTTCATGTCTGTGCTTTGCCCTGAAGAGTCACATAAATTGAGGTTTCTAAAGAACATGAGTCCAATGAGGCTGCTCCTCTAATACTCTCTTTAATGAGCCATAGCAGGAAGAACAAATCCCTCACTAGGCCCACCCCGGGCCACTCCTTAGGTGCCCAAGGACCATGTGCAAAGCCCAGAGCATGAGTGACTGTGCTGGAGCACTCCCTGCACACGCTGCCACTGCTCCTGGGCAGCCGCTCCAGGGCCAAACACTGCCTGTCCTTACACACCTGCTCTGCTCAGGATCTCCTCCACATGGCACCTTCTCCTTCCCTAGAGCTCCCAACCCCCCAAATTCAATCCAGCTCTCTCCTCTGCTGGTTGTTTCAAACTTCTGTTTTAGGCACTTCAGTCATACTTGGGACAGTTTTCCAAAGTTAATCTGTTTATACAGTCTAAGCCTCTTGGGACCTGCTAAGGAAAGGAAGAAAAACCTGGACTGATACTCCAAATTATCTCAACTAATGATGCAAGTAACTAACGATGCAAGTAACTGCTGTGCCCACCCCTCCAAGCACGGGTGCTCCTCCATCTCCCCTCACCAAAAGGACTCATCCTGCCCTCAAGACCATGCTCAAATTCTGCTGGTGGCAGACTGACCAAGGACAATGATCTTACAACTTATGTCCTTCAATGAGCATTTTTGTGCAAGTTTCATTTGTGCAACATCCTCAGTATACCTCTCTATTAATTTTTCTGCATTTAATAACCTCCAGGGACTTCATTTGGTGCAAAAAAGCCCTTGTTGTGGAACTAGTTCAATTAGCTATCTGGTCCACCAGCAAAGTAGCAGCAGAAAACACTGGCTCCCTGTAGCAGTGCCACTCTGGCCACTTCTGCGAAGTGAAGGCTGGAATGCAAGGACATAAAACCTGTAGGAACTGGAAGAATCCTCAAGCTTACATTATTATAATCTCCTGCTACTGTTTTAAGGCTTGGCCCAGCTGTCAGTCCAGAATCAAAAGAAAAAAAATATGAACAAAATTGAAGTTTAGCAAAACATATTCTATACAATATCAGAATAACCTTTAGTATGTTACTAATTTTTATACGTTTTGAGGAAAAGAACTACTCACAGCTGAAACCTGTGACAGTGGATTAATCACAGAGCCACCATATTAGCCCAATTACCTGCTCCAGTGCTCTATTACTTTTGATGCAGAACGAATCATAATTTTAAAAGGTTTAATCGTTGTCGTAACAAGTGAAAGGAGATCAAAGCAGGCTGATGAATTAACAGAAAATACTGAACACTCTCTCACACACAGTAAGCCAGTATGCTGTAAGAAAAGAATCACAATAAATCTTTCATCTCTGTGCCAGACTTCATCCATTCCCTAGCCAAGAAAGTCAGGACTGAGTAAAAAAACACCACTAACAAAAATAAAAGTTATGTCCATATTCCAAGTATTCTCAGCTTAAATAGAAAATGTATACTACAATGTTTAAACTGGCAATGGACCCTTACAATTTGTTCCTAAAAATTCTTTGTGTTACAAAGTTTACATGTTATTGAAGTGCCAGAAAGCACATTTACATCTTTACAATTGCCTCTTGCTCTCTACAAACAGTATTCCATTATATTTTTCTAGTTCACAGCTGAATACAGCAGCTGTGAATTTCCAGCAACCAATTAGGCTGGCATAAATCTCATCTAGCATATAAAGTAAAACCAATCTGCAAATGCTAGAAGTGCAAGAGCTAAAACAATCTGCAGTGTGGTTAAGGGACAGAGCCCTGATTTCTGGTGCATTTTCTAGAGTTGGTATGAAAATCTGAAATGTAAACATGTCTGTGTAAACACAAACATGCATTATGACAAACTGGAAAAGGAGCAAGTGATTTGAGAAAAATTATGTTCACGCACATCTCAAAAACAAGAGGAAAGCAGAGCCATAGTGCTGATACACTTCACTTGACTCTTCACTTGAGATATCAAGATGCCGGAGTAAGTACAGAGGAGGGCAACAAAGCTGATAAAGGGCCTAGAGAATAAATCTTATGAAAAACACTTGAATGAGCTGGGAATGTTTAGTCTGTGAAAGAGGAGGCTGAGGGGAGACCTCATCAGTCTCTACAACTACCTGAAAGGTCATTGTAGAGAGGCTGGTGCTGGTCTCTTCTCACAGGTAATTAGCCACAGAACAAGAGGGAATGGCTTCAAGCTGCAACAGGGGAAGTTTAGACTGGACATTGGGAAAACTTTTCACAGAAAGTGGTTAGACACTGGAATAGGTTGCCCAGGGAGGTGGTTGAGTCACCATCCTGGGATGCGTTTAAAGGTCATTTGGATGTAGTGTTGGGGAATATGGTTTAGGGGAGAACTTTGTAGCACAGGGATGATGGTTGGATTTGGTGCTCCCAAGGGTCTTTTCCAACCTGAATAGTTCTACGATTCTATTCTAAGAGTCCTTCGGATGCAGAAAAAAGGTTTAGGAAGCAGCAGCAAAAGCAAATAACCAGGGTTAAATCAAACATTTTAACTAACCCTTAACTTAGCGAAGCAGGACACTCCATATGAGTAGGTCTGCCTCAATTTCCCTTTGTGATTCAATTGCTGCGTCTCTCAGTTTTACAGCCCAGGCCTGGAGTAGAAAGATTCCCATGAAAAAGGAGAGGGTTTAGAAAGCTCTGAGCTGTTAACAATCTTGAAAATACAAACACAGGCCAAGCTGATGTTCGTAACACCAGCTGCTCTCTGACATTGAAGAACACAGATCTCAGCCCAGCCACAAGTAGGCCTGAACCTGAGATAAAGTAAGAATGAACAGATAAACAAAAGAGTTTTCTTGGTGAGAACAGGGCCTTCTTGGCTTTTTCCACTCTCTTCCTTTTATTCTTCAATGAGAGATATTGGAAGTAGGGCTAAATAGTTAAATGCTAGCAGTAAATCCACTTTATTCTATAAAAGCTTGGTCTCATCTTTGATTGGAGAGACTCCTGTACACTTTCCTAGGAGGCTGCTGGACCTTCTCCTCTCCAGCAGAGGCACCTGTTCAAGTGATTACTCTAGAAGTCAAGAGACAAGAGACACCCAGCTGTAGCCATAAGAGTGTGAAAGACATCAACTCCCTATATGTCTTTTAGAAATCTTTCACTCTTAAGTTCTAGAACTTGAAGACCTTAAGACCCTTTTCAGATAATTGTAATTATTGTATTATCACTTTGCCTAGGTGTTTTTTAATAGTTTAGATAAGGCCTATTAGTAAGTTGCTAGCATTTAAATGGTTAACCTCTGCCAACTAAATCACTCTTCTACATTTTATGGTTAAGACACCTTTTGCATTAGTGCTTTAACATTCTGTTCTCCTACCCTAATATCCCTACACCCATATAATTCAGTTGTGTTTTTCTTTGGTGATTTAGTCCCTAAGACTTCACTGCTGTTTGAAATAAATCTTGTTTTCTGCACATATAACTTGTCTGCTATCTTGCCCCATTTGGGATAGCTGGGTAGTAGTGTCAACTGATCTCAAATACCAAGCTGTACCTAGATCCTTACCTCTAAGCAAACTGAACATTTTCTACCTACAAAACCTCTCCAAACCACTACAACTTTGGAGCAGTGACCAGTGACAGTACAAAACCACTCACAGTTATAAATCGACTTTAAAAGCATGTATTAAGAAAAAAAATTACACGAAAGCATGACATTACTAAAAATTTCTTTTAAAAAGCATATTCTTAAAAAAACCTTACGCAAAACCATAGCAACATGTACCTGAAGAATAGTAACCGTAATGGGAGACTACAGGTAAGGAAATGGCCCTACAATCTAGGCAGTGGGAAGAGAACTGGAATTATTTGGGTTGAGATCTCACTGGATGGTTTTAGTAAGAGTTTTACTGAAATGGGTTTCTTGGGTGTTTTACAAGCTCTTGCATTATTGTTCACCTCATTTAAAAAAAAGGGTAAATGTCTTCCCAGCTTTCACAAGACCCTGGAACAGGCATTAACAACTTGTCAGAGCAGACAAGCTCTGCAGTCCCACTCCTAATCATTTTTATAAGGGACTAACAGGAATGTTTCCTCATTTAGAGACAAGTGGGCATGATTGACCTTCACCCTCTGCCACTTTATATTAAAAAACTAAAATTGCGAAACGTTAATTTTTTTTTCACTCTCTTTTAAAAATAATACAAACTCCAAATTACA